TGAGCAGTTATATGAGAAGCACAGAGCCTAAAATATTTACTATCATGTCCTTCACAGAAACACTTTGTCAATCCTGGTTTAAAATACACATACTATTTTGTGTTCTGAGGTTAGTGAGTCTAATATCATCATTGTTATCAAGTAAAATGCAAAACCTGTATTTCATCCATCTACCTCCCATCATACATTCTATAATTGTACTGTGCTTTACTATAGTTAACCTTATTTAATGTTAACTTGCTTCTCCTCCGCTTGTTAAAACAATTGTTAGACATTATTTATGTATACCCTCCATTTATCTTGCTCATCATTTTTGTATGTTTTTTGTTTTGTGATTTTTTTTTCTTTCTGAGGTGTGATCATAGCTGTGGCTTAGCTCTTGATAGTAAATTTTTGTATCAGTTTTATTTTCCTGAGAATGTTTTTTATTTTGCCCTAATTTTTAACATCATTTTGCTGGATACAGAATTCTAATTGACAGTTATTTTTCCTCAGCAGTTAGAAGGTGTCAATTATATTTTGACTAAATTCCAAATTGAGAAGTTGGCTTTGATAGAAAGGTCAGCCGTTAGCCCCCAAATTGTCCCTAACCCTCTGGAATGCTCATTCAATGGATAACTCCTTACTGTCCCCATGTATATCGAGGCCTTCTAAATTTTGCATCAGTTTATCTATCTCAGTGCTGCCTTTTGGATAATATTTTCATACCTATCTTGCAGCTCAGTATTTTTTTCTCATCAGTAACATCCAAGCCGCTATTTAACACATCCCATGGTGTTCAAAGTAAGTATTAAATTGTTCCTTCTCAGAGGTTCTAGTGGTTCATTTACAATAGAGGGTGGGGCAAAAGTAGGTTTACAATTGTTTGTAAGGAAAATTATGCAATAATTAATCAATAATAATACAAGAATAAACTCTGTGTTTCACATCATCACAACTAAAACCTATGTTTTCCCCACCCTGTATTTCATATTCATGTTTCAATGCTCTTGTCTCTAAAACACATAAAATACACTCATTTATGCTCTGTATATATGCATGTGTTTCATGAGAGTATAAAAACATATAATCTAAGACATCATAGTTGCCTTGTGGTCCAAGGTAGAAAATTATTTTCCTATTTGGGCTTTTTCTATAGGTACCTGCAGAGAAGTAAACACCATCCGGCTTTTTAAGTAGGTTCTCTTCTGTTATCTCACCAGGTAGTAGTAGTCGTACCCGACTACATCATGGGTTTAGGTCCTGTTTTGAGACTGGTTAAGTCTCAAGGCTGTTTATGTAGTGTTATCTCTCATCTTCCTATCTACAGAATGCAGACTCTGAAGCTGTGGTGCATCTACCCATCCACTCCCCATTGTGTACATATTCAGTACATTGACCTGGAGGCTAGCTAGCTTTGAGGTTACCTGCCTCTGTCACGTTGAAACTAAGATGCAAAGGTTAAGGTGCAAGTTTTTAAATTCCTAACATTTCTTTGTCATTTTTAATGGCTATATCTAATCTGGCTTCTCCTGTCTCTGAAATTCCCATCTTTCAAAAAGCCTTTAACAAATATTGCAGCTGACTTTGAAGTAATTTTTGCAGAACCTTTGCTCTTTTTAAATTGCTAACTTGGATACAGTGTCACTTTTATGCCTAAATAAGAAAAAATACTGACATCTATTTTCCTACTTTCTCTTAAGTTATGATCTTAACCAAACTTGATAAAATGCAGATGTATAGATATATACTTAGCATTGAATACACTTTATCAGAAAAGTCATCTTCACTTATAACTTTAAAAAGTTTGAAGCCAAAAAAAATGCAAAGAGAAACATAGAAAAAGGAGGTAATCCAAGATGGAAATTGGATGATAGATTGAGCACCTGACTGAATGGTTATGAGTCGGTGACTTGTGTTTGGGAATGAGGATTTCTTCTGCCTTGAATGGAGCTGCAGCATGAGCTAATTATTCATTGTAAATGTCTTGGGAGATGATACTTGCCAGACTGTATAATAGCCAGTAGACTCTGGCTCAGATTCGATCACGGTGATGCAGGAATTATAAAATGAGAAAAAATTTTTTGAATTTTCTTTCTTGTGTTTTTCTTTTTTCTTTAGTTCAATATAGACATTCATTTTTGCCTTAGTTTTAAAGAAATTGAGTATTTATGACTTATGCCCTTCTTTTTTCAAAAAGGATTAGGGACATATTATAAAGCAAAAATGTGTAAAGTATAAAAATTAGAAGCAAACACATAACAAGTAAATATATAACTATCTAAAAATCCTTAAGTAGATTGGATCCTAATAAAATAGGCCAAATTATTCTAATTTCTAGTAATAGCTTGAGTACAACCAAAGTAAAACTAAGAAATTACTACAATTTCTTATGTGACTGGAGAATATGGAGAATATGTGACTGGATATGTGCATATATGCATATATACACATATATACATAATTTGAAAAATATGAAAATACTGCTGCCAGTAATCTCCCTTCTTAAATGAAATAGAACAAATGAGGTAGTTTCCCATTCTAATTGTTTTTACTCTTTAAAATATTTCTTTGTTGTTTGAACAGGTTAAGAAAAAAATTAATTCATCAAATTTTGCTTTGCTTATTTAACAGAGAGTTATTTATTAACACAAAATTAGTTTCAGCAATTCAGAACAGTATAAGAATCATGTAATCCACATAATTTTTATATTTGTATATTTGCTATTCTTATGGTTTCAGTTTATGACATACTTACATGTTGTATCACTCTTAAATGAAGAGTCAAATCAAGAAGCACAATGGAAACTAGCATTACAAGTTTAATATATTTTAAAATATAGAAATATATTTAAACAGCACATTTAAAGAATAATATAATAGACTTTGTTTTTTATTCTTACAATGGTACACCATTAATTAAAAAATATATTACTTAAAGTAGCCCCAACATAGTTATTATCAAATCTTTAAGATAAACTGTATTTTAAAACAACATTGCAATATACCTGAATTACAAACAAACCCATAACATTTTGAAGCTATTTCTATGTTTATTTGAAAGATCCAAAAAAGTGATTAATAAAGGGTGCTTTATGACTATTCTACAAGGGGGGACCCAAAAAACTCAGAATTTATTTATTAAAAATTGTGTATTTATTCTTACATGTTTAAACTCCAGTCACCTTCAAAGTACTCTCCGTTTGACAATATACCCATCAAGATATATTTTCCACTGCTCAAAACCGTTTTTGAACGTGTTGATTTTGATGGATTTTAGTGCTTCTGCCTTTTTTTGTTTCACCTCTTCCACATGGGCAAAATGTTTCCTTTGAGCACTTTTTTCATCCAGGGAAGCGGCGGCAGGGGCGGGGCGCGGCGGGGGTGGGGGGGGGACGGGCAGGGGCGGCAGGGGCGGGGAAAGGTGCTTGGGGCAAGATTAGGTGAATAGGGAAGGTGGGGCACAGGGGTCATGCCGTTTTTGGTCAAAAACTGCTGAACACTCAGCAAGACATATGCAGGTGCACTCATGAATTGCCCATCATGACATGGGCAAACACAGTGAAAGAGTCATCAAAAACAAAAAAACAAACTGAGCCCAAATGCAGCCTCTCACAACAATGCCAGCTTTTACACTGAAGCCGGTGGGCTCCTAGCTCACTTAGTGGTAAAAGCCTATACAAGGGGCTTGCCCTCCAGAAGATAAATCTGGTTTTTCTGGGGTCCCCCCTCATAGATGAACTATAAATAGGCCTAACCATGGAGCCACCATAAATAACAAGTTATCCATCCAAATGTCATTCTTTAAGAAATCAGTGTGTGTTAAAGAAAAGCCTTAGAAGGCAGAGAGAGAAACGGAGAGAGAAAATAAATTAATTTCAGAGGGAAGAACACACATGCACATATACACAACAGAACCTTCCCATTTGGAATTATTTGTGCTTGGAGGAGGGTTTACAAAATCCCTTTACAAAATAAGGTTTTCATTGAGCTCATTCTCAAAGATATGAAAAATGGATTTCAGCTGTTCTTTCGAAATGGCAATTCTGTCAAAGCCATTCTGGGATTTTGGGTAATTTCCTCCAGTTTAGTTTCAGTGCTTTTACTCTAAATAAAATCCCTTGCATCACATCAATCAGCGGACTCAGTTATAAAGGAGAGCTAAAGAAAATGGCTCTGTCGGCATCTTGCTCCAGCATATTTTATGCACGCAGTGACTCTCGTCTGTGGGGAGCAAAGTGGAGCACAAGTAAATTTTTCTTTATTTTGGACTCCTTTTAAATCAGGAAAAAAACTCTGCAGCAGCAGTGTTCTAGATAATAGGCAGACATGATTTATTTGAGGTAAGAAGGTTGTACTGCAATTTTTTAGTATTCACTGGGAAAGTTAGGGACTCAGGCTCAAGCCTGCCTCTGCAGAGTTCCTGAAGCTCTGAGCTCTTTGCAAAATCTACAGGTCACAAGCCAAGAAGGGAACACGCTCCTACAGTTACACCAGTTCTCTTAAAGCAAACAGTTAAAACAATCATGGGCAATCTTTCAGGTTCTATGTTCTGCCTACCATTTATTTTTTCAAATCCAGTTCAACATTCACTTTATCTAAGGAAGCAGAAACTCAAAAAAATGTGTTTAAATATTTTTCTTTGGGTTATTTTTTATGTTTGACTTCTAAGTGAATATCCTACTGTAGTTTTCATTTGTGCAACATAACCAAATGCATTCAATTTACTTCAACATTATTTAACAGTCAAATGAGTTCTGATTTAAAAATGTTCTATAAAAATTGTATTAGAAAAAATGTTGAAATGGAATTGAATTGGACTTAGCATATCTCATTGAAAGTTAGAGTGGGTAATCCATTGTATAATGCAGTGACCTATAAAATAGATTTTAATGATAAGGCATCCACAAAGGAGAATATATACCTTTAAATAAATAAAAGTAACTATATACATGATATTGTACATAGGTAGAGAGATGAAATGAGCCAGACTAATTTTACAAAATTCTCCTTTTGTCTGAAAGTATACTTTTTATTATATTCATAACCCTAAATACAGATCTTTTTCTTATCCCCATTATTTAACATTAGTGACAGCCGCATGAGCGCACTACCATATTTCTGTATTTTTTCAAAATGACATTGGAGCTGTCATCAAAGTACAGCACAGAGATGGCGTTTAATTTGGTTGGAGCACAGCAGGGCTTTGGTACGTGGTCAGGAAACATCAGATGAACCTGGGAAAGAAAAATTGTTTTTACTTTTAAGAAATGTGGTAGATATTTTGTCTGCAGCTTTAAAATAATATGCTTGTCTTACCCCTCACAATTGGGCCCACCCTCCAGCTGACCACTGTTCTCTTTGTGTTCAATAGCTGGGGTGGGGTGGGGAACTGCTAGTAAAGGATATATTCTTATGCATTAATGCCTAGAATCTAACCAGCAGTTCTAATTATGTGTTGGAGTCTTGACAAATGTTCAAACAAGTTAGGAAAATTCCCTTTGTGAAAAAAGCAGTGGAAATTTTCCTAGGAAAAAGAACGTGGCGACTAGCACTGAATTGCTTTTGGTTAAAACAGCTTCTGTTTACTTCATGAGAAATACAGAAGGTATAAGTGCAAATCAAAAAAGCCACACAATTGGACTGTAGAAAGATTTGGGCCTATAAGTTATTTCTAAAAGGATAATTGAACAAGTGATAAAATGTATGCCAACACTTAATTTTTTGTGGTAAAGCAGGCTTAAATATCGCAGCAAAATTAACTCCAGGTATCATCCAATACTCACTTTAAAGCCATGATTCCAACTCTTCTCCACAGAATTTTTTTAACTTACTACCATAAAGAGATATTCTTTTACTAAGTTATTGTTGGTTCATGAGTATCTCCACAGAATTTTTTAGCAGATTGGCCGGAGTTTAATATCCTTTTAGGTCCTTTCCCCTCCAGACTAACTCTGGAAAGCAGGCTAAGCTAAATGAGAAATAAAGAGCCTAGATATTTTACAAATTGAATACCCACAATTCACTTTTTAAGCTTAAAAAAGGTGGCTGTACATGGAAAGTGAAATGCTGAAGTAAAGGGTTCATTCTCATTCTGATCAGACTGGCAGTCCGCCTGTGGTTTGAGCAAGGAGCCAGGGCCTGGTTCTCCCTTTCCTCCCCATCTACCTTCGTCCTTCCCTCAGAGGAGTTTATGGGAAGCCCCACTGATGAGTCCTAAGGGATCTACAAAAAGCAAATATAGCCTCTTAGAGCTTGGCTGTACAATGTCTTGGCTGAAATGATATAAGAGCCCTGAATGTGGACAGAAACAGCAGGAAAAATGAGGTGATCTGACATGAACTTGAAATTTCCTAAGACCTCACAAAGCTAAAAGTTGGATAGTTTCTACAAGTTTCAGATGCAGCTTGTGTCCCTCATCAGTTTTATCTTCCTTAACACACACACATATGATTGATAACCTCATTTCAACGGAGCTTGGCTGCCTTACCAAGCAGTCACTGTGAAAAAAATGGATTGTTCTTGAATGGTTTCTCAAACATGTTAGTCACAAACATGCTCTCTTTTAACAACAAACATGCCTGTCTTCTTGTTTTACGTCCTTCATAGAACAAACATAGAGAGTGCACAATGCCAGGAAAAAAAATCAAACTTCCCATGTACGCTTCAAGTTTTGTGATGACTTATGTCCCACATCCCAGGACAGTGATGCAGAGCAGGGCCTTGTTCCAAGTGCACGTCAGATTTTTTTTAATGTTTGTTTTTCAACACTGCCTTCTAGACTTCAGCCCTAAAGGCTGACAATATGTAATTGTATATTTATAAGAAAACAAAGAAAAAGAAGAGAAAGGGTAATATTTACTGTTTTTTTTTCAATAATTAAGCATTGCTTAGCCTGAGGGAAACATTGATACCTTACATACATATCTTAGGAAGCAAAAGTCTACTTCTAAGTCATTGGAATGACAGTAAAAAATAGGCAAAGAAGTTTCTGAGAAATTAAGTGGCATTTTTTTTATAGGTGATAGTGGCTGTTCCTCTGTGACATTACAGAAAGACAGTGATCGTGGCTGTCCCTTTAAGGAATGAAACGGCAGCATTCTCCCAATATGATCAGCTTTCAGTCAATGTGAATTTTCATAGATGTGGATAAAAAGCTAGATTTCACAGAGATCTTTCTTTTACTAGTGGAAGTATGAATATACAAACACCCATCCTTAGAGAGCATACCTGCTGCCCATCCCCCAGAAATGTTATTGTGTATCATGAAGTACTTATTTTTACAGATCGCAAAGACAAGGCATACCGAACCTTAAAATTCCTCCAGGAATATTCTCTGTACTTTGTATATGGCACAGAAGTAGGTGATCTTATTAGTTAAGACTCAGAAAAAGAAGAAAATTTATAAATGACTACCTTTCAAAATACATATATATTTTATGTCTCTGTTTCTCTGATACCATGTTTTTTTCCAGCTTTTGACAATGCCAGGGTTTAGTTGTTATAGATGTGTCTTTGGTGTCTAGCTATTCTGTAGTACCTATGAAGTCAGTGAAGACACCAGCAAAACACTGGCATTCAAAAATTTAATCTGCCTCTCTCTCTCTCTCTCTCTCTCTCTCTCTCTCTATAAAATTATATATATGTATATGTATAAATTATATATATGTGTGTATATATAATGGTAAAAAAATATATATATATACACACACCATTCCTTATTCAGAAGGGAACTAAGGTACTCTTTTCATCGACTTTAAATTTTAAATTAATTGTGAAAAATAAAGTAACTCCCTGAAGAGTCAACTCCTCACAAATTCTAATAGTTACTCTTTTTTTTTTGTTATAACCGAGCCTTATCCACAAAGGTAGGTTTTTGTTTTGTTTTGTTTTCTTTTTCCCAATAGCTCTCTTACTGCCATCCACCAAATAACACCATTTCTATCATTACGTCTGGAATCTAAAATAATTTATTCCTTTCTTTCTCACCTAATTACAAAAAATTTTCATATTAACCAAAATATTAATTTGGAATTATATCATACAGTCTATTGCACCTTCTAAGAGCCTCTCACAGGTCTTCCCTCTGCCACATCAGTAAGTTACACACCGTAAGACATGTACATCAGACTCTCAAGAGATTTCATGAGCTCATTAAATACAGTACAACCATTTAGAGACCATGAAATCAACATTTCATTATCGTTTTGAAAAAATAAGCCTAGATTATTACAGATTAAATCATTACTGAATTCCTAAATCTGGGGGAAAAAATGAAGATTAATTTCCACCTTAAAGATTACAGGGAAAAAAAAGTATCAAGAAATAGAAATGTGTCTTCTACTTATATGCTACATTAAGAACTTTCATAATGCCACAGTTTGTTATGGAACATCCTTAAATAATTAAAGTAAAAGGCCTCAGATGAAATTCACTACAGCTATTATGCAATGTTTTTGTGATGATTACTAATGAATTGCTAGGTTAAAAACAGTCGCTGGGAACCTATGTGATTCATCATCTTGCATAGTGAAGAAATCAGGGCAGAATGACCACATCATGTTATCCTTCCCCAATCTGGAATCAGGATTATTCTTTAAATCAACCTGAATTTTCTGACTATACCCATAATTTGTTACTTTGGCTCTAAAAAGTGCCAAAGGAGTTTGAGAAGAGAAAATAATGCATTGATAACTACAAATGGATGCTTTCCTTTAAAATAACTTCATACGAATCTTTCATTTTAAACCAGTTTCAATCCTACAAAAATAAAGCATACCAGGGTTTGAACGATGGCATGATTGGTGGCATTCATATGGGCATTGAGTGGAAAAGAACATTCTCCATCACAATAAAATGCAGCATATCCTTCTGGTGCTATAATCCAGTCCTAAAATGCACAAAAAAGAAGAAAAAAGTAATATCACCAAAAAACAATTCTTAAAAATACTCAAATATATGTAAATCTTGATAGGTTTCTTCTTGGTTCAACAATTAGTCTAATAGGATAGCCTCCTCCAGGCTTTGATTTATTTCTAAGTTGAAGTTTACAGAAAAAAAATATAAATATTTTCACAAGAAAATGTCCTCTGTAATTTCTCCCAAGAGATTGCTATGTACAATATTCATAGTATGTATAAACCCATGCATTCATGAATAAAACCATAATCATGAAATAGCATTCTAAATATTCTTTAAACAGGAAATGATGAACTCTGGAAAGTTCAAGTGAACCAGAAAAAAAAAATATAAACTTGAGATAATTCTCATCACTTCTTAATAATTCATTCCTGGTTTCAGAAGCTTGACAACCTCCTGAAGCTTGAATATTTGGTCCTTGGACTGTTTTTTTCTTTTTTTTAATCTGTGAATTAACTTTATAGCCTCTTTAGAAGAAATGAATCGAAGCAAATTCCTCAAAATTGAACATTAAAAATTTTAGGAAGCTAAAAAATTGGCATATGTAATAATTGCCCTAATTTTTTTTCCAGAGAGGTAAAACTTGGCTCAAATGTAAAATTTGAAAATGTTTCCATTTTAGTATAACTTCCCAATAAAAATAGCCCATATTCTGAAGATCATTGTAATAGGACAATATAACCCAAAAATTTCAATTTAAATGATTATTATGAAGACTGTTTGGAGTCTCTCACTTAGTGTCCCAGAGGTTTTCACCCTTTTTGTGAAGCTGATCATATGTTTATGAAGCGTATGTAAAAGAGAGCCAAAAGGTTTAAGCTCAGGAAAAAATTTTTGTCTGATTTTTTTTTGTATGACAGAGGCAGTATAGTTGAGAATTCTATGCCCTAGACTGATAGTTTTGGAACACTGGTAGCAGAGGAAATTGCTCAAGTTAATCTGAAAAAAATAGTTTTAAAATGAAAAGTTTGGAATATTTAGACAACAGTACCTTTTTTACTTCCTAAATATTATAAACATCATTTCTTCTTCAACAGTTTTTCTTTTTGCTGTAAAAACTAATAATTATGTTTCAATAGTGAAAGAATAATGGATAAATAAAAATGATGTCAATAATCCATATATTGAATAGTCAGGATTTATCTTAATGCAGAACAGAAGCATCTAAATCGATCATTCTTACCTGCCATCCCAGATCCCGGAAGCTCACGTAGAGTTCATGCTTTTTACAGGCTTGTTTTTGTTCACTTGTATTATAATCTGAAGATAAAAATCAGATTTTAAACAAATAGCAGTTTATCAGGTATACTAGTAATATTTCTTTTGTAAGGTCACTGATTAAAAAGAGGCTGTATTTGAAGTTGCAATATGAGTTCGAATCTTAAAGCTAAAGCAACTTGCCAGCCATGTGAACTTCAGGTAGGTCACCTGTCTTGAGTTTCTTCTTCTGTAAAGTGTAGACAATACCATTTACCTTGTGGGGTTCTAACAAGAATTTGTTTAGATCTCCCTCTATGTGATGGTACACAGCCTAATGCCTGCCACTTGTTGAATACTAGCTTCTCAGTGAGTGCCCATTCATTAATTTGTGCGCACCATAGTAACACTTAATACATTTATATATATTAAACATCTGTACAATGGTTTTTACCATCGTCAATGAGGCAGACATAGGGAAAGTACCACGAGGGATCATACAGAGTTGATTTTATTTTAATAAACATTTTAAACTCAGGCTACCCGAAGTTGGCCTGTCAATTGTCATCCCAAAACCAGTCCCACCTCTCCACTCTTAACGGATGGCAGTGTTGTTTACAAAAAAACAAAAAACAATTTGAAGTTAAAAAAAAAAAAAAAAACTCCCTGTTTTCTCTCCCACATCCAATCATTCGGGAAATCCTACACATTTTACCTCTGAATACATCCAAAACCCACCCACCCCCACCCCCACCATGGAAGGTCCTTGTGCGAGCCACCATCGCCCCTCACCTGAGTTACTGCAGTATTCCCATTAATATGTTCCCAGCTTCTGCCCTGGCTCCCCCATAACAAAGCAGCTCAAGCAGACCTTTTAATAAGTCAACTAAACTTTATCACTCCCTCGAAAAAAGCCCCATGATGGTTCCCCATGACCACAAAAATGAAATACCCTCGCAGCGGTTTACAAGGCTATGTGATTTGGCTCCATTGCTTCTCTGACTCATTTCCTTCTTCTCCTCTCCTTTATTCCACTCTAGCCATGACACCTCCTTGCTGTTTCACACACATGCTAGCCTTCTCTCTCCTTAGGGCCTTCACACTCACTATCCCTTCTCTCTGAAATGCTCTGCCTTTGGATATCTATATAGCTAATACCTATATAGCTTGTTCAGCTCCTCACTTAAGCATCATCTTGTAAATGAGGGCTTCAGGTACTACCTTAAACAAGCTGGATAGTCCTGGTCTCTCTCCCTCTGCTCTAATTTTTTTCCATTTCACTTATCCTTCTTAATGTGCTATGTGATTTACTTGTTTATTATGTACTCTGGTTCTTGTCTATTTCCCCCTGCTAAACTGTCAACTCTAGAAGGGCAAAAATCTCATTTAATTATGTTTAGGTCACTGGTGTATCTCAAGTGTCAGAAACAGTGCCTGGCACACAGAAAGTACTCAATACATATTTGAAGCATTAATGAATGAACTAGAGTGTCCCACAAATAATTTGAAGCAAAGAAAATACGTTATTTCCAGTACATATTTTGGAATATAACCTTAAAAACCCATAACTTTTTATAATTACTTAATATATTTAAGGATAAATGGAGAGCCCTCACCTTGCTTTTGGAATAAAATAAAATATTGAGCAATAAGGAACTTTTCAGAAAATCTTTCTATATTATCTTTTTTTCCTTTTTCCCCTCTATTTTTATTGTTGACACTATTACAGATGACCCCGTTTTCTCTCCCTTTGTCCCCCCTCCTCCCATCCCCAACTCCTTTTTCCCTCTGGCCATCACCACACTGTTGTCTGTGTCCATGGGTTTCTTTATTGTCCTAAAGTTTGTTCATACTTCGTACCAACAGTATTTTAAAAGCTAACCCATTTTGATTATTTCCAATATGAAATATGAAAGAGGGAAAGATTTAGGGTAAAGGAGCCAGCAAAATAATTTATTCTCAGGGATGACAGCTAAGTTTTTCTTCTAGGAATAAGTGCTTACATTTACTCTGACAGTCATCTCTGGAAAATCACTGTAGCCGTTTAGTATACAGAGCAGTCTGTCATAAGGTATCTCCTTTCAGTTTAATTATCCTCAACCTCTAAAGAAAATGTAGGCACATCAAAGATCCCAGGAACCAGTCTTAGCAGACCTTGTCATCTGCTTTTCACAGTTCCTTCAACTCATTATTTATTTCATGTTAGTCTAGAAAATAAGATGATTAAATTTTGAGCCTAGAGACACTTTGCCTTCTAGTTCACAGTTATTCCTACAGCACAATAATCTTCATTAAACAAATCAAATATGTTGATAATGATGGAAGATGGATGAAAGAGAATTTATTTGAAGCTCAGCACTCTCATTCTTTGGGTAAACCGCTCCCTTAATCAGAATAACACAGTTTAACTTTCTTAAGGCAATGGACAGGCATATTATAACACTATGCGCAATACCATGAAATGGATATGTTCCTTACATATATTTTTAGGGAAAAATTAGTTATGGCATTAGTTTGATTATATAAGCTTCTTGATACTTAGGATAAAAGAAAGTCAGCTATGCATTAAACAATAGGTCAGCAAATATTTTTTTAAAAAGACAGATAGTGAATATTTTAGGCCATGGGGTCTCCTCCTTTGCAACAACTCAACATTGCTGCTATAATGTGAAAGCACCACCCACAGTTAATATGTAGATGCATGGATATGGCTATATTCCAATAAAGCTTCACTTATAGATACTAAAATTTGAATTTTATATGAAATCTAGATAAAAAGTATTCTTTTTTGAATCTTTTTCAAACATTTAAAAATATAAAAAATATTCTTAGCAATTGGGCTGTACAAAAACAGGCAATGGGCTGAATTTGGCTCTCAGACCTTATTTTGCCAACTCTTGTGTTAGACAATAAGGGAAATATTTATTCTTTTATCCTTGTCTTAATTAAAAACATTGAATATGAATAAAGACATTGTAGCCAATAACACACACAAGTATATGTGAAAAGTCATAAGCTATGCATGTGGTTATTTCAATTCCATGTTTATAAAAAAAAGGAAAGTAAAACTTAAATGTCAAAATATATCTGTTCCATCTATGCAGCTTTTCATGCAGTCTAAGTGATGTATATAATGTAACATCGCATAAAGGTAACGAGCAATGAAATTTATAACAGAACCCAGTTCCAAGAATCTGATTTCATAGAGCGTTAGGACCATATGCTTGTTCTGTCAGAAATAAAAATTAATGGATACTGAGTGAAGTAAAGGTTGTACCCAAACCAGCAAAGTCTGCTGTTAGGTTTACTATAAATGGCTGGCTGAATAAACTGTAGGAGGAAGGGAGGGAAATGAGATTTATATCTTTAAAAAATATTGATTGGCAACCCTTCAGATATTAAAATAAAGTGGACAGAATGCTACTGTTGATGAACCTGCCCACAAATGAAGAGTCGTGCCAGAAATTACAAAAACATTCTGGTGCCACAGCCAACACTAGAAAAATTTGCTAACATTCCTCAACCACAACGCAGCTATCTTAAAAAACAGCATCTCTCTGTTTTGTCTCTTTATGGAAATAATATTGGGAAGTCTGTGCCAAAATATTGAAAGCATTGTTAAGTACTTTATGGCAATTTCTTTATATTCCGTTTCTGAAAAGAGGAAAAATTCAATTTTTTCCTAGTTTGATTTTTAAAAAAATATTTTGTTCTAGAAAAAAATTGCAAAAAATTAAAATAAAATACATGGAAATTAAAAGTGGCTAAAAAAAGTTCTGAGGTCTATATAGAGCTTTAATAGTCTGTGTCCTCATGCCTGAAATTAAGCAATCAGATACAGAAACAGAGAGGCTAGCATTGCTATGAAGTGTACAAAAGAAGATCATGTCCCAAAAACTATATACCAAAATGGTTTTCCTTTTCTTTAAAATCTAGTATTAGCTTCTCTAAGTGATGAAATATATAGGTAAATCTGTTGAAAAAAGAAAAATATCCAAAATAGAATTTAGCATTTAAGCACAGCAGCAGCTTAAGCCAAATATGAGATACTGTGTTTCAAGGTGAAAGAGAAGATATTAGCATTCCCATGCTCAGTTCCCAAAAGGAAGAGGACAGAAGGAAGTTAGGACCTGCAGCATCAGGATTTTAATTAACTTAGAGAAAGTAGAAATGACAAATGAAGATACAAGAAGAGGTAAAGCAGCAGAAACAGTACATTTTGTTTTGGTCTGAGGGGTAGAGAAATTCATGATAAACCCCCAAAATATCAATTCCCCCCAAAGATGAGGGATTTCAAAATCCAGTGAACTCCTCACTTGACTGTATGCACAACCCAGTAGGAATTAGTGTTATTTATTTGTGAAGGAATAACTGTGTTTTTCTCTGTATGAATGTGTGATGCAGAACAGACACCACAAAATAATAACTCTCTGGTGTGTTTGCTTAACTTGCTTAGCAAAGCATCTATGTGGATGATTCAACCTTCTCACCTTGGAGCTCACTGACATAAAAACCTGCCCACAAACCTGCATTTCAGACTGCCTTCCAGACATCTCTAAATACAAGTTTGCCAGATGCCTCCTACTCACTATTTTTACTTCTGACTTCACTCCTTCGATGTTTACTATGTTGATTAACAGGATCACTAGTAATCTAGTGGCCCAAACCAGAAAATTCACTTACGCTTTTTGGTTTTCTTTCTTTCTCCCTTATATCCTTCATTAAATTGGTCCACAAAGCCTCACTAAACTGACTCATTTCTAGACCAGTTAACCTGTTGGTACACACTTGGTTATCTTAAACTCCTTCAATGTCTTTTTCTGGTAACTTAATGTAGGGTAACACTTTATCCCTTCTCTTCTGTATCTCTGTCAGTCATTGGTCTCTTTCAGACAATTACTTTTTCTCTTTATTTTATACTTGCAGTGCTGATGTTCCCACTGAAAACTCCATCCTTATTTTTTTCTTCCTTTCTTTGTTTTCTATGGTACTGTCAAGTCCTATGCTTCGTCTTACCATTTGGGCTCATATCTACATCTGTTTCTACACCTTCCACTTATTCT